TGTGTATTAACAGCTGGAAATAATGCCCTGACCGGAGGCCAGGAGGGATGCTGCCCTGTACTTCCTTGAGGAATAATGATTTTTCACCAATCCAAGCTCAAGCTGAGGTTAAAGGGTTAAACTGCTCTCAGATGCTAAAGCATAAAGAGAAACAAAACTTATCTGAACTGTTGTTTGAGGCCTGCTTCCACAGACAGCAGAGCCTGGACCTTATCTGCAGTGACACAAGCTGGATGGGCACTGAACAACGATGCCTGCGCTGAGTCCCAAGCCAACCAGAGCCAGGAAGCCATGAATGCAGAGGAGGGCGACCAGAGGCAAGGGACACACAACTATAATGCAAATGCCCACTTCCCTGAAGAAAAACCTCCTCATGCTTCTCCATGTGTCTGCACTATAACTAACCAATAAGCTTCAGCCAAGTACACATTTCTTTGCCCATAGCACACTTTTTAGGCAATAAAATTTAAGTGTTGTTCTCAACCCTGGTCCCCAAGATCTACAAAACTCTCATTTCCTTTCTTAACTGGGGAGGCCTATTTGAGGGGTTTTGCCCCTGCCTCCTTGCCAATAGACTTGCAATAAATCCCTTTCTTTTCTCAAAACCCAGCATCATAGTAATCAGCTTTAATTGCAAGTCAGGCAGAGAGCCTGTTTGTTAACCAACACTCATGAAGACTTTATAGGACACAACTCCCACAAATAATGAGAACACACTGCAGCAGGGTTCAATCAGAGGTAATGGTAACTTCACAGGGCTGTCTCTGAGCTCTAGTGGAGAGGTGCTTTCTTAATAAAGGATAAACCACTTCTGAATGGATTTAAAATATCTTCTCATCCATAAAAATGCCTTGTCTCTGAGCCCATTAATCCCCAAGCTCAGACCTGCATAGCCTAGTGGTAAATAGTATCAGATCCAGCAGGATCCACGGTGGCTTATGTCTTGAAGGTTTTGGCCATGCAATCTCCCCCTCATCATGTGCGTGGAGAGTCTCAGGAGACTTATGGAGCGGAGGGTTTCCATAATTCGTAGCTAGAGTCCTTTCCTCTGGCCCCTAACACCTGGAGAGTGCTCATAGTATAAAATTGTGTACGAATGCAAAGTTCAAAGACTCAGGAAGGGTAAGGACTGCTGAAATCAAAAATTCTGGAGAGTTCTGGAGGATGAAATTCAGGTGTCAAGAGCAGGACCCAGAGCCAGAACTGAGCCCATGACAATGAGGGCAGCAAGCACTGAGTGACCCACATAGACAAGAGCCTGACCTGGTGACAGGGCCAAGAACTGGCTGGCGTGGGGGCTGCTGATAGGAGACCCGCACTGAAGCCTGGTAGAGAGGAAGACAGCTGAAGGTGGAGAAAAGACAAGGGCTGGCTTTTCAATAAAAGCACGGCACTCCTATAAATGCCATCAGAGGACTGCTCTATGGAAGGCAACCCAAGGCTTCAGGGGAGAGCATAAGAACGAAATGGGGAGAGGCAGAGGAGAAAAAATATTGCCAGCCTTCAAATGCCTGAGCAATTTGCTCCAGCACCAAACACAGCATCCTCACCATTAAAACGCAAGTCCCATGTTAACTGGACCCACCCTCCTTAAAAGGGAATTTAGCAACTGCTTATTGCTGACCAGACTGGCCCTAGGGGGGTCATGCCCTTCACTCCCAAGTGGTTTATCAATGAGATCAATGAGAGGTCTTCGAATGAGGGGTCTTCTCCATCTTATATTCTGGGCAATGTTCCGTGCTCTTTACAGGCTGTGGTCCAGGGAACTATGCACCTTGCTTAGCCTCAGGGTCTGGCAGTTGAGCCACAGAGCTGGGGCAAGAACCAGGACTCACTCAAAAATCCCAGTTCACCTCACATCTAGATCCAGATGTTCCAAGCTGTCATGCTGGGAGCCAGCAGCAACCTCCAGAGGAAGGTGTATTAGGCTGTGACTTGAGGCCTGAAAAGTTGTTCTGTGAGTGTCGTGTAGCCTTTTCTCACCCAGGACCATATGATCCTTCAGTGCCTTGCCAGCTAATCAGAATCACCAGGGGCTCAGGACGGGCTGCTGGAAATAACGGGCTGGAAGGCGCTATGCGATCCACTCTCAAGACTATAGCAGCCTTTAAGTTATCTGCTCCTCATATCCCCAAGGCCAGCCCAGTCGTGTTCTTGGCAGGGCAACCCAGGCCAGGAAGCACTCGGGAGCATCTCTCTGTGAGTACTTGTGACTTGTCTGCTCAGGATTAGAACTGGCTGCTGAGATAATGGTTTTTTCCACACAGCCTTCCAAGAACTGGAAAGGTAATTAAAAGCATAAATCTGCTTGGATTGTGTTAAAGGGGAAAAAAAATAGTCTACAAGCACTCCTGCTAAAATCTACAGAGATAAAATCAGGAGTTAAGAATCTTGGTAAGAGTCCAGCAAAGTCAGTTTGTGACAGATCTGTAGGAAGAGCAGGCAGCTTTACCTTTCCTTTCCTATGCCCTTCCCCTGCTTCCTTCCACTCATCTTCCCCCACCCTACTCCTTTTGGAGAAATTAAAACGTAAGGTGACAGGGCACTCAGCTGGTGAGCTAGCTACCTTGACCTGTCTTCCCTTCCTCGGCCACAGGTCAAACGACTGCAGTGGCCTCCTAGAAGCCTGGGGTTACCCTCTCCAATTCAAGGAAATTCTGGCCCAGCTTCTTCTATCATTCCCTTTAAAACATTCTTGCTTTCCTGAATTTTTTTATTTCATGTCCAACTGCCTGCTTATATCTGGATTCGCCATCTCTTCCCAGCTCCTTTGGCTTTATGGCTCAGCTGGACGACCTTGGCTGATTTGTTTCCTTCAAGCTATGCCTTCTTGGATCCCTCTCCCTCATTTCTACCTGGCCCAGATGCAGGTCTGTGTCACAGTGCTGGAATCAAGGTGTGTGATGGCCTTGAGAAATCCCAAAAGCACAGGCACCCTGTATACTCAAACCATCTAAGGCCGGCGGATGCATGTAAGAGCAGGGAGCACGGTTGGGACACAGAAGGTTGACCAGGCTCATGTTTTCAGCCCTGAGTTAATGCTATTCTAAGCCGACTCAGTGCCTTGATCTTCAGATCCACACAGTACTAGCCAGAGAGAGGGAGGAAGGAAACCAAGTGAGTTGGACTGGAGAAGCAATTTGGGGTTGGGGTTGTCAGAGGCAGTTGTGGGGAGTAAGATAATCAAGGAGGAGAATAGGGTACTTCTGAGACATGTCACTGTGGGTTGTGAAATGGGTCCTCCCGGACAATCTGTAAGCGGTCTATGTGAAATTTAACTTTCGATTTGGTGGTCAGATTGCCCTTCTCACCAAAGTAACTCTGTCCAGAAACTAAGCAACATGGTGCCATGGTTTGGTTTGGTTTTTCAAATTATATCAGGATGAATTCTAAACTCCTTAAAATGGCTAATGAGGTCTTCCAAGGCCTTAAGTCTCCAGACTTATTTCCACCCCTGTTCCAGTCATAGCTTATATCAGCCAGGCAGAACTTAATTCAGATCCTTTGACAGCTCAGGTTTTTTTCTCCCTGTGTCTCTAACCACTGTCCCCTGCCCAAATCTTACTCAAGGTTTTGGCTCAGATGTCACTTCCCAACTCCCCAAATCTGGGGTCTTTGCCTTTCCTCTGTGTCCCATAGCACCTTACACCACCCCCTCCAGAGTTTCTTCAGGCTATATCATAATGATCTTCTTCACTTGATTCTAAACACCATGAGAGATTGTCCGTCTCACTCACCGCAGAGCAGTAGAGCACCACTATGTTTAGTGGTGTCTGATACAGAGTAAATGCTCAATAAATATCTACTAAATGAACAGCACCAATGCAGAAGCTTCCTCCAAGATACTGCTCTGACTCTTGATGTTCTACAATTCCCTAGCCCTGCTTCCACTAAGATCTTTTTTCCTGGACGTTTCAGCCTCTAGAGTCTGTCCACCTCCTTCTGCTGGAACAGCAAGGGTGGAAAAACCCTGGCTAGCTGATGACCACCTCAAGGCTCCATCAGCATAAGCAGCCTCAGTGGAGGTGGGGGCTGCATGGTGGCCACCTGGGGGCATTCTCCTGTGAGGTGTGTCCCTCTCCAGGAATGCCTTTACATGACACTACAGAACCTAACCTCAGAAAGAACTGTTTTTTAGGATTTCCTTTCTCAGACTGGATCTTTCTCCAGTTGCCCCAAATTCTTGATGTCCCTAGGATAAGGCTCTTTCATTCATGTCAACAAATGAACATGTATTGAGCACTAACTGCAAACCTGGCCTAATGCCTTTGCAATTGCAATCTAGCAGAGAAGGCAACCACCTAAAGGGATAATTAGGTAGAAAGTCCAGCAGGTCCAGGGAATGAAGACTGATCCTCAGGCAGTCTTTCCATCATCATGGAAGAGAACCATGCTTTATTTCCCAACCAAGCTTCTGTTCTCCACTCAACTCCTTTTCAGTGATTCTTTTCTTTTTCTTTTGCCTGGATCCTCTTGTTCACTGGGGAAGTTCCCTGGTCCTCTTCTACACAGTGAGCATCTCAAAGATTTGAAAGTCCTCCCGGGAGGCACACACAGCCTCTGTGACCTGCTCGAGAGTGGTTTAGTTGAGCTCCAGATTTAAGCATCCAAGGATGAGGGCCTCTGTGATCTCAATCGGGGTGCCACCCCTCCGTCACTTTGGATTTTCTACTTGGAAGCAAGACCTAACACAGCTACCTTTACACAACTTTCTTTTTTAATCCTGACTTGGACTGAACCCTAGAAGAGAAAAGGAGACTCCATGGCTCAGGTTTCGGGAATACAATTACTTTCTTAAACAAGATCACAGAGGAGTTTAGCTCCATGAGGTGAGGCTGTTGAGGTTTAGATCCCAGCTCTGCTACAGATGGGCTAACCACTGGTTGAGTTATTTATCCTTAAACCCGAGTTTCCCCAACTATAAAACAGGGGAAATAATAGCTCATATTTCATGAGCAGTAACTCTAATTTATGCAAAGTCACATGTACAGTACCTGACACGTGGCATTCAGTAAATGTCAGCTTTATTTTTGGAAGCCTGTTTTAGGTATCAGGTAGCACCATCCCCAAGCAAGACTCTGTGGGAGCCATAGCTTGCTGGGAGAGTGAAGAAGAAAGCATTTGAAGAGGATGTTGATAGATTAGGTCCCATTCTTGGACTCCATGGGAAGCCTTCCTCCTTGTTTCTGAGACAGCATTGCAGGGTCACAGGTGATTCTTCCAGGTAAATCTTAGGCTGCTGTCCAGCTTTTGACATCAAATAGCTCTAGGGATGACACTCTAGGGACGAGACCCTGGTAAGTCTGTTATTCCAGTCTAGCAACCCAGGGCTGAGGGATAAGTGACAAGGGGGTACCCCAACACCTGTCCCTAGAGACAGACAGGAAAGACCCTGGAGGTTGGCACTGAACCTCCCATCACTGTGTAGGGGAGCACAACTCTGCCATTTCCAAACATGTCTTTGACAAAAGGCTGACTTCATAGGAGGGGTTGTGCGGCTGGGTGGAGCTTACCTTTGAAAAACATATCTACATGCAAACTTTTGTAAGGGTGTATACTGAAAAGAGCTAATTTCCTGGTCTCTTTTCAATGGAGAAGGCTGAACTTAATTTGCATACCTTTGTCTACTGTGTCTTCTCTAGTAAACTCCCTAACCTTCCTTTCTCTCCCGAGTCCTCTGCCTTAGCTAACCTATTTAAGATAACATCCGAAGCCATGTGGGTAAGTGACTCATTCACACTGCGTCACTCCCAAGTATTCAGCGGGAATACATGTTACTTTCTGCCTAGAAGCCCCAGAGCAGTAGAGGATGGTTTCCTTTCTACCCCATCCACGGCCACCAGCAACTTTTGTTTCCTGCTTATGATCTAGCCTGGAGGCCTCACCATATGAGACAAATGAAAACCACATTCCCTCAAAGTTGTGGGTGCATACTTTACACAAAGGGGTGCTAGGCAACTGTCAAGTTTTCTGGCTTTCCAGCACCTTCTGAGCTCTCTTCTCACATTAGGGGGATTTCCTACCCTAGGGGTCTCTACCACCCACAGGTGGAAACAAAAGCAGTCCCTTCTCAGCCCTTTCACAGCAGAGACACAAGAAGGTGACAGAGGGAGGACAAGATGGCCAAGGTCACATTTCTGAGCCAGATGTGGTTTCTACACTGCAGGCAGCTGCGATGGCAATCATGGGGTTCCTGGTGGTGATATAAATTGCAGTGTGCAGTTGGCGGCCGCAGACTTACCAGTGGTTTTTAAATTAGGCCAGTTCTGCAACATGTAATGAAACATCATTCTGGATGTGTAGCCTCAAGCCCTGTTCTCCAGGCTCCACTGATTTCAAGAGACACCCAATATCCTCTTAGCAAACCTTTCCTGCTTAATCAGCCAGCATCAGTTCTATTGCTTACAACTAAGGACCCTGATTCTTATGTGTAAGAATCCCAGGGACACATACTGACAATTTAGAAGTCCAGTGTTACTGAGCTCTCTCTTGCTTAATAAATCTGTTCAGTTCCTTTAAATTCCTTGTGACCCTGAGCCTGCTCTGCAGGAAAAACTCAGACACAAATGGTTTTTAGGCAAGCAGAGCAGACTGGGACCCCGTTCAGTGGTCTGAGAAGGAACAGACCACATCTGAACATTTGTCCAAACAGTTTCTTCCAGGGCAGAGGTTCAGGCTGTCTTTGTTGGGATGATTCCAGAAGCAGGGTCCAAGGGTCACAGCTACGGGCTGACCGAAGGCCTTCCTCGGTCTGCTGACACACACAAAGGGAGCAAAGTGGCACCTGGGGCCAGGCCCAGGTAAGGGTTTAAGATGCCAGGCAAAGCCGAGGTGGGAAGAGTGACTGGAAAGACTAAGGAGCTGGGCTGACTCAGTAAATCTGTTTGTGATTGCTTGGCTGAAGGCCCTCCAGTGTGGAGCGTGCGAGCAGTCACCACCTTAACCCTGAAAGGGCCTGGTCCTACCAACAGAAATGCTGCCAAGATACTGGCAACAGACTCCAGGACAACACAAGGAGGCAGGCATGGCTGGCTCTGGGAAGCACTTGTCTACAGGTTCCCTGCTGGAGGTCTTCCCAATTGCTGAAGACCCTCTAACCACAGTAAAGCAAACAGCCAAGAGAGCTGGCCTCTAGGCTCAAGGGCAGAAGGCAGACGAAGACATGGGCAGCTGACATATGAGCTGTGGGTTTCAGATCTCTCCCAGGCAACTGTCTGGCCAACATGCAAAATGAAACAAATCTAAGCCAAGAGAAAGGGAGAGGGATGAGAGGCCCGATGGGAAAGCAAGAGGCTCCGCACCCTTCCTGGTTCCGGGAGCCACTATATGTCCTTTTCTGCTCAAGCTCCTTTCCGCCACTTGCATCCAACAGAGGCCGGAGTCGTCACATGATCCTAAGACAACCTCGCCCATGTTTCATGTTCTCTATATGCTCTTCCATGATGCTAGTGGAAGGAGCCATTTTTCCACAGAAGGTGAGCCACTGGCTGCCACTGGGGCAGCTCTGCTCATGTTTTACCCACAAGCACCTCACAACAGTCAACACAATCCAAACATCTACAAAAATGTCAGCCTGGAGTCATGTGCTGAGTCACAGTCATTTGGAGAAACGTCAGCCTAAGTCCACAGAAAACTTCAGGCTTCAATGCCACACAGATGTAGTCAGAGGAGAGATCCAGGCTGCCTCTTCCACTCTGACCCTCTCCCGTGACCCTGAGAACGTCAGATTGCTAGGCTGTCGGGGAAGACACGGGGCGCTGGCTCACAGCCACTACCAAAGTCAGCTCTGCAGGAGTCAAATAAAACGAGGCCCCTCCATCTTGTTCCCTGGCCCCCTCCCACCTTTAACCGTCCATATTCAAGGCTCAGCTCCAAGCCTGAGCCACACTCCCTGCATTCTTTCCTTGGGATTCTGGCACAGAGCTCCAGGCCTTAGCCCAGCAACAGCTTGGCTTTGTTACCCTGGGGCATGGAAAATTCTCTCCCTGACAGCCTCATTCATTTGACTCTTATTAAGACACAGACCCCAGCAGTGCTGCGCCCTCCCCTATGGTCTTCAACAAGACCCTGGAGGGTCTCCCCTGGCTCCTCACAGACTCTCAGGGTCAGAAGTGAGGTCGCGCAGTCAACCTCCCACTGGGTCCCACCCTTCACTTCTCAACAGCCCCATCTAGTGAGAGAACCACCTTCCCAGAGGCAGCTGACCATGGCTGACTCTGGGGTTGTCAGAATGTTCTTTTTCATCTTGAACTAAAATTGACCTCCCTTCCACCCCATTCCTTTTCTCTTATCAAAGATGAAATTCACTTTGTATCCACAGGACAGCCCTGAATTTATATGAAAACATCATTTTGTCCTTTCAAGAAAAAAAGAAAAACTGTCTCCTCGAACTAAACCCACTTTTCCTGTTCCTTAGTTTTCAAACCCATAGCAATTCCCTCTACTCTTGCCTGGATGTTTTCCAGTTTATAAATATCAGACTTATATTAAAGAACTTGTAACCTAAAGAACCTGCAAGGCCTACTCCAGGACAGATTTAAAAAAAAAAAAAAAGCCCATATCAGTTAATTACAATTTGATTCTCCTCACCCTCAATGGCAGAACTTTAAAACTTGAACAGCTGGTAAGGCAAAATTTACTGGTTGCTTCCAAAAAATTTGGTTGTTTCCAAATATTCTTTCATTTTCTTAACAGAAATTAATTTTTCAGCTGGGCACACTGCAATTGATAAAAATCTTTCAATTCTAATCATCCATTGTAGATATCACTATGAAGCTAATTTCTAACCCAATAGATATAAGTAGAAAACTTCCTGGAAGTCTTCTAAGGGTGAGAGCATGACCCTTCTATCTTCCACACCATCCTGCTTCTGGGACTAAGATGTGATGCCTGGAACCCTAGCAATCATCTTGGACCATGAGGCTGAGACTTTCACAACAAAGCAATTAATTAGGAGGAGTCTGGGCCCCTGGCAATTCTGTACAACAGCTACACTAGCTCAGGGCTACCTAGCTCTAGAGTTATTTTTGTCTGAGAAATAAAAATTTCTCTTATTTAAATTAATAATGTTTAGGAGTTCTTTTAAATATTCATGTAGACTTAATCCTAACTTACCACCCTAAAGTCACACAAATGGGTTTTAATTAACCCAAAGGACCTCTCAAGTAGATTATTCTGAGAACAAGAAACCTCTATTTTCATTACTAATTCTTTAGTTTTTATCATCTTTTTCTCTTAATGCCTAGCAAAACTTTGCTGAGGACTCAGGGGTAACCTATAGAAATAATAACAAGTAAAAATTTAACTCTGATGTTTCTGCTTCCTCGGGCTACTCTAATGAATGGCCACAAACTTGGTGGCCTAAATCAACAGAAATTAATTCTCTCTCTGTTTTGGAGGCCACCATCCAAAACCAGTGTTCTTGGGCAGAAGTCAAGGTGTTAGCAGGGCTGGGTTCCCTCCAGAGGCTCTAGGAGAGCACCAGAACCTCAACTTCTCCAGCCCCCAAAGGCCAGCATTCCGTGGCTATGACACATCACACAAATCTCTGCCTCCGAGGTCACAATGCCTTCCCTTCTGTGTCATATGTTCCTCTGCTTTTCCTTACATGGCTACATATAACTATTTAGGGCTCACCCAGAAAACCCAGGATAATCTGTCTCTCGCCAACACCTTTAATCACACATGTAAAGTCCTGTTTTTGCCATATTAAGTAACAGTGCAGGTTCCAGGGATCACGATGTGTTATCTCTGGGAGGCCAGTACTTAGCTTTCCACACCTACATATTAATCATGGCTTCTCTCAGAACATTGGATTTAAAACCACAGTGACGCCTCACAGCAGTGTCCCGTGAGCACTCAGCCTGCTACTGGGCTGCAGGGACAAGCCTCCTATCCTGCAGATCACACACTATCCTTGCGCATGTCTCGCACAGCCAGGGTGCAGATACCCAACCCCTCCGGGTGCCAAAAGAGGGATCTGAGTCCCAAGCCCGCCTCTGCCACCTGCCTTCATATCCCACTGCCAGTCAAAAGCCCACCTACACCACCATCATCTCCTATCACCGGATTGGCCTCTTCCTATTATGACTGACAGCAAGATTGCCCAATGCAATGTGATCTGGGTTAAGGCTCTGGCAGTAAACCAAGCCAGAGCTGAAATTCCACCTGTGCATTCATTCAAAGTCAGGCAAAGCCGCCCTGTGGCAAGCCCAACACAGGTTGGAATTTCTAACATATTCCAGGTAGTTCAACTCTAGGAGGCTTGATTCCCTCATCTGTAAAATGGAGATAGTATAATACCTGTCTTGCAAGGGTATTGTAAGAATTAGAAAAGAATGGATGTGAAGGGCACAGCACCTTACCTGGCCGCCAGCCCAGGAGAAACCTGAACAACGGCAGCTATGCCTCGTCCGTTCAGTTTTCCCTCTAATCCTGACTGACTGCCCTACCTGGGTTGGAGATGTGGCCATGACCTGGACGGCCTTGTTCAGGAATTCAACCCCGGTCTGCTTCCTACACACGAGGCCTGTGCTGCCTGCTGCGGTGCAGACTGAACCAGGCGGGGAGGAGCCCCTTTGCTCGGAAGACTCGTGGATTGTCACTTTCTCAGAATGGGGCAGCACAGAAAACTCTTGGGGACACAGTGGGTTCGAATGTCTGGAGCTGGGAACGCTGCACTCCTAAAAGTGACTGCTGCCTGTCAGACACCCAGTCTTCACCAGGTGCACCCCAGGCGGCTGCACTGACCTCTGCTCATCAAAGGAGGAAAACCACCCCAGATTTAGGATTCTTAGTTAAATGCTAAAAATTGGAGGTAAATTAATTAAGCTATAACTTAAACACCACCAGTCTTCTCTCATCAACAGTTCCTAAGACAGGATAGGCAGCATTAATTGTTGCAATTAATTAGGCATTAAACTGATAATGGGTACAGCTGCTAACAATTAACAGCTAATTATGTCAAGCACTTTAACCATTTCACAAAAGAAATGGAAATTGGAAGGAAGGGAGAGAAAGCATTTACCTTGTAAACAAATGAGATGCATTGAGCTACAAATGCAGCTGGATCCTGCTGTAGGAATGACAGAGAGACTTGATGGCTGCCATGGCCCCGGTGAGGCGGCTGCACGGAAGCACGTGAGCCTGAATTTGAACAGAGGAGACCTGCCTGAGAGGAGGCGACCTGAATGGTGAGCAGAGCCAGCACGTGCCAAGCTGCAGTCTCAGAGCCCAGCAGCTAGTACCCCACACCAGGCTCACAGTACTTCAGGGCAGTTACTATTACAATTCCCATTTTATGGATGAGGAAACTGAGGCCTGGAGAGTTCAGTGACTAGTCCAAGGTTTATGCAAGCTAGGACCTGGAAGCACACGCAGGCACACTGGCCCCACAGGACACCCCAAAAGAAATGGACCTCACTAATTTGCTGAACTCTCACTCAAACTCAGACACCCAAATGCTTATTGAACCATGAGCTCCACCAGTTAATCTTAAGAGCAAAGAAGAAGTGCCTCGTAGGCAGCTCAAATTGGAAGTGAGCATTTTCTGAAGTGATGAAGCTGCCAGATATTCATAAATTCAAATCACTCCTAATCCAAACCAACATTTCATTTGTGCGCCTCTAGGTAAGGCTCCCCCCCCCCCCAACCAACCTTCTCTATGGGAACTTGAATCCTGCTGGGATGTGCCAAGCAGCTCCTGGGGGACTTCAAGATCCCCTCCTCCAGTGGACTTGCGGGAAACATCACAGAACTGTGTTTCCAACAAGTTTTATCTTTTTCATCTCACGGGAAAGGGAAGGGAGTAGAAGATCTGGACCAAACCAGCCGCCACTCCACAGAGACATGCGCGTGCGAACACCACATGTACGCAGGCACGCACGCCTTGTTCAGAGGGTACACTGAGGCACAGAGGTTTGCAGCAACAGGATCGAGTCTGCTTGTCCTAGCTGGAAGCCAAAGGACAGAACGTGCCACCCCAGCTTTCACACAAGCTGGCAGCTAGAACAGAAAATTGACATCTGCACTCTCTGCATCAGTCCATCCTACATTTGAGCAGGCAGAGGATCACCTGGAAAACTCACTGAAATATGATTCCTGGGCCCTGCTCCCCCACAGATTCTGAGTCAGTAGGTTTGGGATTAGCCCAAGAAATTGCATTTCTGAAAAGCTCCCAGATGCCAATCTGCCGCCCACACCCCACGCTTGGGAAGCACTGGTCCGGCCGCTTGTCCTTGTCCCGCTTGTCCTTGTCCCACGTCAAACGCCACTAACTGCCCCAGAGTGGGCTCCCTGACCCAGCCCGGCCTAGTGGGCACAAGTGCTTGTGTTGGTCCCACTGATTTGGAAGTTTAAGATATGGTACTTGGTCAAATTTGACCAGGACCTGTTTTTATTTATTTTTATTTTACATATAGTTTACATCATTCTTCCTTTTTGGACAATGTTTGCTTTCTCCTCTCAGGTGTGGTCCCCATCTAATTCCCACCACCAAGTCACCCCCACACCATTACCACAGTCCCTTGTGCTCTTTCCTCTCCTGTTGTGATCCTACTTCCTCCCTCCCCTGCAGAGTGTCTCTCAAAAAAGATAAGCTCATGCCATTCCCAGCAACACGGATGGAGCTGGAAGGGATTATGCTCAGTGAAATAAGCCAGAAAGAAAAAGAAAAATATCGGATGGTTTCACTTATAGGAGGAATGTAGGGGAACCAAATAAGGGATCAGGAAAAAAAGTAATTATAATAAATTAAAAAGCAAAATTAACAGGCAAGTATAAATCAGGGACCTGTTTTTAAACAGAATGTAGGGAAAGGGGTGAAACAGGCCTCCAGGTCCCACTCTCCTGGCACCCCCTAGGGGGAGTGGGAGGCACTCTCTGTTTGCCAGGAGCCAAATGGAAATGATGCCACAGGAGAGCCGCACTGGGGAGACTTCTGAGTCCACAGGTGCCTTCTGCCTTTGCTGGACTTTCCCTTGTGTCCTTCAACAGGACTCCCAAGGGGATTAAGACTTTCTCTCACCCAGAGGCCAGCCCTCCACCAACCCTCAGGCCTCCCCTGTGAGACACCCAGCACCCCCCACCCCGCCCCATCACCTTCCTAGAGCTCATTGGGACTCAGAGCTCCTAGGGCCCTGAGAATAAAACCAGAGCTGCGGGGGCCACCTCTGGGGCCAGGGCAGTCTGTTCAGAACCAGCATGGACAGGAGGCTGGAGGCGGTGGCATCTGTCACCTCCAAGGAGGGCCTTCACAGTAGCTGCTCACAGGTTGCACTTTGGGACTCAGAGGGGATGAACTGACCCTGCTTGGGTCAAGTGTCCAGTCGTCTATACTCCCAGATCCCTCTCCCTTAGAATGTGCACCCTCTTCCTGCAAGTATGACACTGGTATGACAAAGGGAAGTTTCTGATCAAACTTAAACCTTCAATTCTGGAACTACCTGTGTGATCTTTCCTGGGGTTAAACAGAAGATCATGGGGTACCTTCACATTCATACTATTTGGCAACAGTGAAAATTGTTTCCTGGGGCCTCCTGGTGGCACAAGGGGTTAAGTCCATAAAACATATAGAGACAATTTTTATAACTATAGGTGACTGTGTGTACATGTGTATTATCTGTCAGAGAAAAAAACACCCTAAAAGGGCATATGCCATAGACTAATAGTGTTTTCTACATGAGCATATAGGAAATTGCTGGTTTTCCTTCTACGTTATTTTGTATTTTTCAAACCACATTGAACATACCATGGAGTCTGAAAAAAAAAATCATGAAATAAAAAATTACTACTGATAATTTCAAATATCATGAAGGGGCCATTATACATATTCTGGGACAGAACCTTCAGACTATTTCTGAAATCTACTCCCACATAATAAATGTAGAAGGGAGATTGTAACTATACAGGTGAATTTTTCTGAAATCTGCATGCACATGTGCAGACAGGCCAATGTGGTAATATCAGTAGAAGACACATCTTCCGTACATAATATTCATATTCATTGGCCCCTACCCTCTCTTTCATTCCCCACTCAGGCAACAAAGATATTTTTCTCCATAATGTCTCCTAGCAGCCAAACACAGGCACTGCTAATGAATATTAATTGACCTAACATCTTGTGGTGATGAAACTGCACATTTCCCTGTCTCGTTTGGTTGCTAGGGAACCATGTGAGACAGCCTTGGTGCCCTGGGATCTAGGCCCAGTACAGGGCAGGGTTAAACCACAAATCAGAAATACTCTGCCTGATTAATTGTGTATGTGCGCAACCGTGTCTGTATGTGGTCCTGTCAAATAAACAGGAAACAAAAAATATTAATTGGCAGAAGGCAGACAAGCTGGTGGAGATGCGAGTAGACTCTCAGACACTACAGCCCCCTCCCCAGAGAGCTCCTGAAACCCTCTTCTCTTCTGGAGTCCCCTTTCCATGGAGCTGTTGGCACCATTGTTCCTTCCTCACCATTCTCCCAGGCCTACAGTGGAACC